CAATAGCTTAGTATATATATATATATATATATATATATATACTGTACTGTATATACAGTATATACTGTATATATGTTGTGTAATAATTATGAAATATTTTTATTGTCTGCAAAATTCCCAGTAAAGATCCCAAATGTTTTTATTATCGCATAAATGGCTTATATATACTGTATATATATATATAATATACATGTGATAGTAATGTAATTCAAATATTTAGATATATATATATATATATATATATATATATATATATATATATATATCATATTTATATACTGCTAAAAGATAATTATCGCATTACACCAAAAATTTCACTATAAATAGATTATTAGTTAAAAAAATACCAAATAATATATCAATATGTGTGTGTAATACATGAGTATGTTATATAATACAGTATTTATACAGTATATACTGTATATATATAACTTAATATATTGATTGATACAAAAAAACTAAATATATATATTACACTGAAATTCTGTAATAATATTCAAACAAACAAAAAAAAACATTTTTTGTTGCAATCATTTTTAGTTTCAAAGAGAGAGAGAGAGAGAGAGAGAGAGAGAGAGAGAAAGAGAGTTTAGTCATAAAAATTTCCGACATTATTCACTTTGATGTTTACAATAATATTTTATAATAATAATAATAAACATATTTGTATGAAAATATTTTTTTTATTATTATTATATATAAAAATCTAAACTCTATTATAAAAATAATTGATAAGATTTTTATTGTTTTATTTTTTTTGTGTGTATTTCCTAATTATATTTCATATTAATTATAACTATATTTATAACTATATTTCTTTTTAAAAAAATTAGTGTAATATATGGGGTTTTATTATTATTTTATTATTATATTATAAATTTCTTATTAATTTTTATTTTTATTGTTTTTATATTTTTGATATTGTATTTAAAAAAGAGTGTAAAAAAATTAAACTATTTTTTTGTTTGTTTGTTTGTTTGTTAGATTGCATTCACGTTATGTTAATAAACTTCAATATATATATAGTATATAATATAATTTTTATTTATTTCTAACTTTTATTATTATTATTATTATTTTGATATACATGTAAATGTCTGCATAAATATATATATATATATATATATATATATATATATATATATATATATATATATATATATATTGTATATACAAAATTCATTGACCTTTTCTTTATTTATTTATATATTTATTATTTTATATTAAATTATTTTATTTTGCATATAATAATAATAATATATAGCAGTTATAAATACCGGTATATACAGTACGCACAGTGTATAATGTATAACAATATTATATACAGTACTGTATTTTGATAACTAATTTACTTATTGTTATTTAGTTTTATTTTATATTATATGTATTTGTTAGACATTTATTGGGATTTATTTTTTTGTGGAAAACAATTTTTTTAATTTCTTTATAAAAATTAAATAAATGTATTTTTTTTAATAATTAATGTTTAAATAATAAATATATTAAATATATAATTGTCTCTAATCACCCCCCATCTCCCCACCCCCATTAATTGTATGACAAATCTATAAGTAATAAATAAATAAATAAATAAAATTTACAATTTTTTTATAAAGAAAACAAATACAATCGATGTTTTAATTTTTTTTAAAAAAAACAATAATAAAATAAAAAGTATTAAAAAAATTTTTTTTTTGTTTATAATATTTTGTGTGTTATATGTGTTTAATTTAAACCCTTATTACTTATAAACAAATATCATATATAATATAACTAATATTATTAAAAAAAATAAATATAATTTTTTTTGTATATAAAAAACTTGTGGTTAATGTCCTCTCAAATATCCATTGCATTTGAATTTGTATTATTAAATGTTATTTTATTTTTTTTAATTTTTTACTCTCTCTCTCTCTCATAATATTTACTATTAATTACTATTATATTTATAAATTTTGTTTTAAATAATAATTTTTATACTTATATATATAATTTTATTAATAATAATTGAAATTCACCTTGTTTAAAAAAATAAATTGAATATTTATGATGACTACTATAACCCCATCTAACTTATAGTAAACTAACTAACTATATATATATATATATATAGTATAATATAAATTGTGATAGTTGATATTTAAAAATTTACTAATACACTAAATAAAACACAATTAATATTATATTTGAAAATTAGCTAGCAACAATATTTATTATATTTTTAAAAAAAAAATTAGTATAATTAAAATGTTTTAATTAAAAATTATATTATCATAATTAACAACAATAACATAACAACAAAATTAAAATAGTTTATGAAAAAAACTTTTTTGATTTTTTAATTAATTAATTAATTAATTTTTCAATTTAATTGTTTCATTCATTAATTTCCGTATACTCGGTAACTATATTTGACAATTTATTACTACTATTAACAATACTATTACTACTACTACTACTACTACTAGCCAGAGCACCGTTAGCTGCTGACGATAGCTTCTGGATGTAACGTTTACGGCGCCGGCGACCAAATATTTGCGGATTTTGCTGAAACTGTTGGGCGACCTGACTCTGGCACTGGCTTACGAAACACGACATTTGACTTTGATTGGTAAATGCCGGCACATATGACTGGTTATGGCGGGGGGTTGGGATGGTTAGGATGGTTATGGATGGTTATGGATGGTTAGGATGGTTAGGATGGTTAGGATGGTTAGGATGGTTAGGATGGTTAGGATGGTTAGGATGGTTAGGATGGTTAGGATGGTTAGGATGGTTAGGATGGTTAGGATGGTTAGGATGGTTAGGATGGTTAGGATGGTTAGGATGGTTAGGATGGTTAGGATGGTTAGGATGGTTAGGATGGTTAGGATGGTTAGGATGGTTAGGATGGTTAGGATGGTTAGGATGGTTAGGATGGTTAGGATGGTTAGGATGGGTTAGATAAGGATCGGTAGATGAATAAAAATATTAATATTAATTTTATTTTTTAGACATATTAGTTGTGTGTGTGTGTGAGTACATACCTGTCCCATACAAGCAAATGACTGGACAATCCGATAGATAGATAGATAGAGTTTAATACAAATTAAATATATAATCAAAAAAAAAAACAAAAATTAAATTTTTGAATTTATTATTTATTTATTGCGGGTATTAATTAATTAATTAATTAATAACCGCAATAAATATATAATTAATTTCAATACTTACAGTTTGTGAGTATAGTAGAGAATTACAAAGTATGCATTGACTCTATATATCAATATATATGTATTAATTTGAAAAAAATAATTATTAAAAATATGTAAACAATCTCTAATATTAGAAAAAATAAATTTAGTTAAAATTATGCAAAAATAATAATAATAATAATAATAATATTTTTTTTTCAATTACCAGTACATTAGGAATCTGTGAGTTAAAACATACACGGATTACCTATTTTTTTTTTGGTTGAAAAAAATATAATTAATTAGTTTTAATTAAATTATTATTAATTAATTAATATATTTTGTTTAGTTATTATCTATACATTTGGCTGATTATTGTTGAATTTATTCCAGAATAAAGGACTGACTACCAGTGCTGAGGACATCAGCCATAGGGTTGTCATAAAATTTTTGACTAACATTTTTTAAATAACTTTTTCAATTATAATTAAACAAAAAATAACACTAATTATTTTCAAAAAAAAATATTATAATTAATTTAAAACTTATTTTTCTAAAAAAAATAATAATTTTTAGTTAACATCAAAACACACCAATCATTTATATTGAGAGATAAAAATATCATTGAAATCTAAATATCATTTTTTGTAATAATAATAATAATATTATTATTTGCATATATTGTTCTCATTTTTTTTATTTGTTATTTATTATTATTATTATTGTTATTAAATAAATAGTGATACCTATTGTCTAAATTAATATTATTATAAATTTAGTTTATATTAGGTTTTTTTAAGTATGTGTTTCAATAAAAAAAATTATATATATATATATGTATATACAGTATACAGGTATATATATTTTTGTATTATTATTATTATTATTATTAAAAATATTTAATATAAAATGATCAATGTCACTTAACAATATCACTTAATACTAATATATATTTTTTTTTGTGTTAATGATATTATATTTTAATTTACTAATATTATTATTATTATTATTATTATTATTGAATACACAATATATATAACAAATTGTATATACAGGTATATCAATGATAATTATAATACTAAAATTATTGTTGTATGATTATTGTATAGTTTGTTTAAATATGATGCTATAATTTTTTTATTAATATAATATTTATTTTAAACTTTTATTTTATCAATTCAATATATTTATGATCCATTTTTATTATATGATATATAATTATTATTAAGGATATATAATAGTAGAGTAAATTTATAGATATATTATATATATGTGTAAATCAATGCCAAATATATATAATAATTTTATTACTATTATTAGTATTATTATTTAAAAAAAAAACATTATGTTATTTAAACAAATTTAGACAAATTAATTAAATACAATAATTATATTAATTTTAATTTTAATACACAAAATTATTTATTAATTAATAATAATTTATTTATATATATATATATATTTTTACTATTTTTAAAAATTTCCAACAATTAACAGCTTCATAATCATAAACTTATAAATATTCAACAATTTAATTATAATTTTTATATACAGTAATTATTTTTCGCGCAAATATACTTAAATAATATAATATATAATAATTTATAATTTTCAATAATAATAATAACAGTGTCTAAATAATATAGTTTTATTAATTTTATATTATATTATTATTATTATTATTTTATCATTATTAACCAGCAATCGTTATAATCGTATAATTGCTAGTATTATTGGTATTAATATTAATATTAGTATTAATATTAGTAGTAGTAGTAGTAGTAGTAGTAGTTTTAGTATCCAGTTCAGACACCCCACCTCCGCCCCCGCCTCCTAGCCCTCCTCCTCCTCCTCCTCCAGCAAGTGTTGTAGTTAAGGTAGGTATTGTTGACAACAATTGTTGATTACAAATGTTTATTAGGCATAACATTTGACTTTTATTGATTATAGCCGGTACATTTATCTATTATAATATATAGTTTTTTTAAAAAAATAAATAAAACAATATATATATAGATTTAGACATCAATTTTTTATTGTTGTTAAACATACCTGTCCAGTGCATACCAGTGCCTAGACATTGGATATTTAAAATGTTATGAATAAAATATTTATATATAATATATAATTTATATATATATATCAAACTTTAAAAAATCGTATAATACTTACAGTTTGATTAAATTGATTGGTATTGCAATAAAAACATTGACTCTAATATATATATATATATATATATATATATATATAAAGATAATAAAATAAATAATAATATTAGATTTATTATTTATATTGATAATTACTAGTAATAAATAAATTAATTAAATCAATTTTTTTAAAACTATAATACTACTACAGTGCTAATACTAATACTACTATAATAATATACATTTAGATATATATATATTAGTAAGTAATACTAATACTAATTATTATTATTATTATTGAACTATATTTTTATTTAATATATATATATAAAGTTTTCAATAAATAAATAAAAAAAAATTATTTATTTATTTGTTTAAAAATTATACCAAAACATCTTGAATTTGTGAGTTAATACATATACGGATTATCTGTTAATAAAAAAAAATTAAATATTTTAATTAATAAACTAGTTTTTAATTTTTGAAAAAAATTAATAAAAAAAATTCTAAACATTTTAATAAATGTTAATAAAATTTTTTATTAAATAATTAATTAAATTTACATTTATATTATGTTCAATATCTGACTGTTTGTTTGATGTATAACTTGAAGTAGACATTGAAATCATTGATATAATAATAATAATAAATAATAATAATTTTATTAATAATGTTATTGACAAACAATTTTTGATAAACATATTTAATTAATTAATTAATGAAAATTAAATATTTTTTTTAATTAATTATATTTATTGATATTTTTCTGTAAATTAGTTCAAACACAGACACAAATACACAAAAAAAATTGTTAATTAATACTTTATTGAATAATAAAGCAAAAAATTAATAAAATATAATTATTTGTTATATATTATACAGTATATCCAACTATTTTTTTAAAAAAATTATTTATTTAAACAGCTATTAATTTATTGAAAAAAATAACAATTTGTTAATTGAATTTATTTTTTTATCTAAACAAAAATAATCATTTGTTTCAATAATATTTATTTATATATATATATATAATTAAAAATTATAATAAAACTAATTTACACTTTTTTTAAATGCATTGTTTGATATACAGTATGTGTTTTATTAAATAATAATTATTTATTTATAAAATAAATATAGTTAATTAAAATAAACTATAATATTATATATAATTAATATTATTTATTAAAAAAAAAATAATTTTATTTTTAACAATTTAGCTAACAATTATAACTTTAGATAATTTAATTTATTAATTTTTGTCAAAATATAAAATTTCAATATAATTATTATAATACAATCGATAAAACAAAATATTCATAAACAATAATTAATTATAATTTTTTTAATAAAAAAAACTAAAATTACTATTTAGTTATAATAATATTTACAAATAATAATAATTAATTAATCAATTATAGAAAAGTTAAATCAATTAAACACAACAACAACAACTGTATATATAATAAATAAATAATAAAAAAACTAATTTTGCGTTTTAAACTTATAATTGATAGAAAATTATAATTAAATTTTAAAAAAACATAATTAATTAGTTTTTTTTTAAATAATAATAATTTACAATCAATTTTTGGTATATATATATATATAGAGTCTATTATCAAATTAATTAATCAATCAATCAATGAGATCCAACAAATAAATTGTTTTGTTATATTTGTACAAAAAATAAGTTATCATGGTAATAACCCACCTCCCCGCCCCGCCCCTGTTTTTTCTCTATCAATAACAACACTAACGACAACAACATGAGAGGATCGGTAGGTAATTCATTATTTACAGTATTATATATATATACAGACAATGATTATCATCGATAACAACAACAACAACAACAAAATCACACGATTAATGCGGTGGTAAAAAAAAACCTAACGGTTCCCGATTGGCAATCAGTAAACCAATTAACGGTAGATCTGGTAGTTATTTGTTTGTTTGGTTTGATTAGCACCGTTAGGTACAAATAGTGGTAGTAGTAGTAGTAGCCATCCAACCATCCCATCCCATCACAACTAGACTGGTAAACAACCTACTCGTCCTGCATGGCCTTCAATATGAGTTCCCGGCGAACTTCATCGTACTTTTTCTTCACCTGATTGGTCAATCGTTTAGTATCCGGTACCTGATATCCCGGTACCAATTGCCGTAGCATTTCGACAAACCCTTTACCCTCAACAACGCATATCGGCCGACAATCTTTCACCAACCAATTGACCAACGATGCCGTTATATCATCGCTAGTAATCATATGGTGGTTATGGTTAGTCGTTGTTGTTGTCGATGCCGATGACGAGTTGTCGGTCGAGTTGTTATACAACGATACAGTTGTTTGCTGTGATTTGTGATGCGGTTTCTGGTGGTGGTTGTGATGATGATTATGGTTTAGTAGTGTCAGATGATGATGACCGCCGCCGCCTCCCGATTGGTGGTCATTGTCATCACTATACATATGATGGTCGCTACTGTTGTTGTTGTTGTTGGTGTGCGGCGACGATGAATAGTGTATCGCCCGTACAATTAGCTGACCACTGCCGGCGCCGTCCAATACATCCGACTTACGTTTGTTACCAAACTTTTTGCCCGTACGCGGCGTACGATTAGTCGGCGCCAGTTTCTGGGGCTGGGCTTCCGGATGCATGGCCTTCAAATGGGTAAACAAATTGGTTGTATTACCCGAATAGGCCAGCGTTGAGGCGCATATCTTGCAGATGGCCTTCTTTTTGTCCTGTATTTCGCCGTCATCGTCGGCAATAAAACCGAAATACGACCAAACTTCCGATCGGGCGTGCGGTAACGGTACTACCTAATTGATTTAATTGATTGGTCAGCAACAAATTGATCGGTAAAACAGTGATATAATGCTAAAAACCTTAACAATCTTAACGCTATGCGTTTGGCCCATATTGTCGTCGATGCCGCCGCCGATACTTCCGCCTATACCACTACCACTACTGCCGCCACCATCGCCTCCGACCATCATATTATGCCGGCTATCGTCGTTACTGCCGTCGGCCGAATCGGACATCAGACTATTGGTCGGCACTACTGTCAACTGGTTTGACTGGTCTAACTCGCATACATTGGCTAATCAAATACAAAGAGAGAGAGAGAGAGAGAGAGATTAAGTCAGATATCGGTCATGTGTTCATCAGTTACCGGTATCTCCGCCGCCGTCACCGCCAACACCAACGCCGCCGCAGCCGTCGTCCGATTCGTCGTTATCGTCGCTAATACCGATCACTTCTTTGTCGTCATCTTCTTCTTCTTCTTCCTCTTCCATATCGTCGTCTTCATCGACACCTCCGACGCCGACGCCGTTGTTGTTGTGGTGTTGGTGTCCGTTGTTATGGTTGTGATGATGACTGTTGTTATGGTTGTTGTTGTCTTCATCGTCCTCTTCATCGACCAATTGGTCCAACTCTTCCGAATTGTCCTCGATTTCGGCAATCATATTATCGGTAGTACTGTTTCCACGTGCGGACACTATCGGCTATATGCCGATGACTATAACAACACCACACAAACTACTGGTCTCTCTCTCTCTCTCTTTCTCTTAAAATCTCTAATTTGCGGATCAATTGATTGGATTATAAAACAAAAAACTTTTTATTTTTAATTTTCTGTTTTAATAATAATTTTTTATTTAGTTTTTAGTTTAGTTTTGAAAAACTTTTGATGCAATCAATCGATCAATGATTTCAATTGAATTGATATTTTTAATACAACATTGATATCAATTGAACAATCGATTCAATATATACTGTATAATACAAACTGTTGTAAATACACACCAAAAAAAAAAATGCCATTCAATGCATACACACTGTGTGTATGTGTTGTGTTATTTCAATGGCAACACCCGATAGTATTGTGTGTATATATAACCAATAGTTAGTCATACTATATGTCTGATAATACTACAGCCAAAGTGCGCTACTGTTATACAGTTAAGTGTTATAGTTATAGGCGCTTAACTTGTTGTGTATGTTTGTATGTGTATGTGTATGTGTATGTGTATGTGTATGTGTATGTGTATGTGTATGTGTATGTGTATGTGTATGTGTATGTGTATGTGTATGTGTATGTGTATGTGTATGTGTATGTGTATGTGTATGTGTATGTGTATGTGTATGTGTATGTGTATGTGTATGTGTATGTGTATGTGTATGTGTATGTGTATGTGTATGTGTATGTGTATGTGTATGTGTATGTGTATGTGTATGTGTATGTGTATGTGTATGTGTATGTGTATGTGTATGTGTATGTGTATGTGTATGTGTATGTGTATGTGTATGTGTATGTGTATGTGTATGTGTATGTGTATGTGTATGTGTATGTGTATGTGTATGTGTATATGTATGTGTATGTGTATGTGTATGTGTATGTGTATGTGTATGTATATGTATATGTATATGTGTATGTGTATGTGTATGTGTATGTGTATGTGTGTATTATCAGTTTTTTAAAAATGTTTGTAAGACATATGTGCGCAATGTATGGATTAGATATACTCTGTTTAGAAAAATCGACATGTAAACTTTATTGTCTGTGTGTAGAGGTGTGTGCGCGCACGTTATATACTGTATTACTAAACAAACAGATGGCGTTTATCAACAAGAAAAAAATATCTTAACATTTAATAATTTTATTTTATAAAAAATATATAAATATTAAAAAAAAATAATTAAATTAAAAAATATTTTTTAATTTTAACCTTTTCACTTTATTGTATTTTTCTATTATTAGTTAAATATTAAAAATATTAAATATTGTACATGGTAGTATTTGTGTGTTTTTTAAATAAAATAGTATAATGCTAAAATTTCATCAATTGTTTGTCATTTTGGTTGCCAATGGTAACCCCCCCCCCTCCATAGATAAATTAATTGAATACTAGGTGTCAGCAGTGATTGCCAATATGGCAGTACTATGTGTGTGTGTGTGTGTGTGTGACTGGTGTTTATTGTATGCGGTATTTATATGTAGTATTTTACTCTATTGTTTGCCATAGTAACCAAATATACCATAATATACCCGGGACAATATTCCCATTATATTTATATTAGTAATTAATTTTTTTTAAAACATATTTAGTATCAATGTAAATATATATATATTTTTTTGCTATTAAAAAAATTATTTTTCTTTATAGGAATCTTAATTGATTTTTAAAAAAAAAATAATTATAAATATTATACACACTTTAATAAAATAATAAAAAATATATTTATTTTAAAAATTATTTTATTTATTTTTTTTAAAGTAAATATCTATACATTTATATTTTTTTTTAAAAATAATTTATTTATAGGAATTTAAATTCATTTTAATTTTATTATAAAAAAAATATTATACAAACTTTAAGTTAATAAAAATATATAATTATTTAAATTATTTTTTTGTTAAAAGTAAATATCTATACATTTATATTTTTAAAAAAAAAAATTATTTATTTATAGAAATTTTAATTAATTTAAAATTTTTTTTATATATAAATACTGTATTATACAAACTTTAAGTTAATAAAAATAAAAATTTATTTAAAAATTATTTAATTTATTTTTTTCTAAAAGTAAATATCTATACATTTATAGTGTTGTTGTTGGTCACCATATAATGTTTGTACAGTATATTACATTACATTAACATTAAGTATAGCATAGCATAGCATAGGATAGCATACCATAGGATAACATACCATAAACTTTATATACATTTACTGTATTATATGTATGTCTCTATGTATTTGACAGCCGTTTCCCACACCAGCACTAGTAGGTTGTCGTTGTTGTTGTTATTTTTGGTTATCTGACTGTCTGTCCCATTGTCAGTGTGTGTGTGTGTAAGTGACCAGTGCTTCGGTAGCTATAATAATAATGACCAACAAATAATCATTACCCGCTATAGACTACCCGATAAATAGTTTATATATAGCCTAATAATAATAATAATAATGACGGAAAAGGAGGCCATAGACGGCGCCGACGGCCACCAAACCGATCATCGCGGTAGCGGCGGTAACCGTCGAGGCCATCATCATCATCGCCAACCAACCGATACGGACGGACAACGGCCGCCGCCGCCACCGCCGCAGCCAATAGACGATAGGTCGCTATCATCATCACCGCCGCCGCCGCCACCGTTACCGCTGCCGTCTCAGCCATTATCGCACAACAACAACAACAACACCGTCGGTAATGGTGTCCACCATCAACACCAACAACAACAACATCCACAGTTACCGCACGGCTGGGAACGTATATGCGATGCCCAGTACGGTGTCTACTATATCGATCACATCAACAAACGGACACAATATGAGCGGCCGTACGAAACGGAACTGTCGAAAGGTGCGGCCGGTTTCGGCTTTACACTCGTCGAGATTGATAAAGGTTTGTAAATATTTTTTTTTCGCCCCCAATTCCCCGCCCGACCGTATTGATTGTGTGCGTATCCGGTGTCCATTAAGCTGACCACCATTGGTCGGTATGTGTGTGTATGTGTGTATGTATGTGTGTATATGTATGTGTGTGTTTGTATGTGTGTATGTATGTGTGTATATGTATGTGTGTTTGTATGTGTGTGTGTATGTGTGTATATGCATGTGTGTATATGTGTGTGTATGTATGTATGTGTATGTGTATGTGTATGTGTATGTGTATGTATGTATGTGTATGTATGTATGTATGTATGTATGTATGTATGTATGTATATGTATGTATATGTATATGTATATGTATATGTATATGTATATGTATGTATGTGTATGTATGTGTGTTAATACCTGAACCCGAAATTGGTTGGTCAGACCGGTTGTCGGTCACCGATATTGTTGTTGTTATTATGATATATTCGGTAACTCTATAATCGGGTCTATTTATCAATTAAATACCCGGGTAATCGGTAAATGCTGTCTGACACACACACACACACACACATCCTTCCCGATAATTATCGGGTTAATCGGTTCGGTCATTCGCCCGATTAATGTAGACCCCCCTCCCCCTCCTCGCCCCCCAGTCGTCCTCAATGTTTTCTACATTATTATTATTATTATTATCAAAAAAGTTATTTGACATTTTTTATTTAATTTTTTGTTGTTTGAAACTATGTGTCTAAACATATAATTTGTGGCTAAGAAAAAAAATAGTAATAATTATATTAATTAAAATTAAAAACTTTATATAAATATATATAATAATTAAGCCATTGTTTAAAATACAGTGTATATATAGGATAATAAGTTTATAAATTTTATTTTTCAATTATGAGTGACATTTATTTTATTTTTTGTTTTAATTATTATTATTATTAATTAATAATAATATGTTTGACTATTTGTATGCTTATGTTAAAAGTTATATAATAATAATAATAATAATATTTATTATTATTTTTCTAGTGTAACATATTTGAAATTTTAAATAATAATAATAATAGCTTAGCAATATTATCATTATAATAGAAATAATATAATAATAATAATAATAATAATTATTATATTATTATAATTATTTTGTCATATATTATTGTCATTGTATTTAGTATTTAGTTTTTTTTTATTATTATTAATAAATACAATACAATACATGACATAATATGATAAATATTTATTATTATTATTATTATCAACAACAAAAAAGTTATTGTCATATATATTATATATATATATATATATAATATTATATATATTTATTTATTATGCTAAATTTGATTTTACAAATTAGTAGCAACAAAAATTTTTTTGAATAGGATTATTTTGTATATATTATATTAATATTTAAATATACATGTATATAATTTAATATTTAAAAATAGCAACATTTTAGTATTATTATTATTATTAAGTTGACTACTATATTATTATTATTATTATTATTATCACAAGTATAGTGTATATAAAAATTTTTAGTTTACATAATATACAGTTTTATATTTATTTATATAATATAACAAAATTTATTTTTAAATACAACTATAGATACATTTTGAAGAAAATAAAATTAAATAAATAAATAATTTTGCATACAATGTGTTTGTATTATGGGGACACACAAAAAAATTATTAATTATAATAATAATAATAGTCACAAATGTTTATATATTATAATAATAATAATTTATATTAAAAATTATTTGAATAACAAATAACTTATTATTATTATTATAATATTTTTTTAATTTTTTGTTGCTTAATCTATGCATCTTTTTTGTTGTTATTATTATTATATATTTTTAAGTTTGTATGTCAAACATGGATTTAAATGTTTGTTTTTTATTAACTATTTATTTATAAATTTTGTATATTTTATTATTTGTTTTTTTATTTTGTTTTGGGTTATTGTATAAGTATTATATAAAAAAAATTTTTTTTAGTTTAGTAGTTATGTTATATTATTAGACTATAATTTTGTAGTATAAATAATAATAATAATAATACTACTGATAGCTAAAATTGATAATAATTATAAATATTTAAAAAATAAATAGATTTATTAATAGTCAAAAATTAAAATATAATTATTATTATTATAATTATATTTTTATTTTAATATATAAACAATTTGAGATTTTTAAATATTTGTTTGTTTTTAATTTTAGTTTATATATATAGTTTTAATTTAAATATTTAGTGATAAAATATTGTACATAATATTTACTACATTTTTATGTATATATATAAAGTTATGAAATAATTTTTATTTTATAGCTAAATAAAATTGTGCTAAAAGTTATCTAAAATTTATATATATAAAAAAAATTATTTCATTTAGTATTTTTATGATAAGCGATAATATATATATATATTTATTAATATAAATGATATATAAATTATATTTTTAGTATTTAAGGAAAAAAAATTATTTCTACTTTGAATTCTAAGTGTTTGACAAAAAAATAAATAAATAAATTATTTGACATAATATTTAATAGCTTTTTAAAAACAGTTTATAATTATTTATTAAATAAAAACAATTTTTTTTATCAATAATAATAATAATAATAATTGCTTAAAACTAAAATGCATTGGAAAAGTTGTGTTTTTCTAAAAAATTATTTTCAATGATAAAATAAAATATAAATTTTTAAAAAAAAAAATATATTAAGTTGTCAATTAAATAAATATAATTACAATCATATATCCGTAAAATAAAAACATTTCAAGTTTAGTAGTTATTTGACATATTTTTTTTGTTAGTTAGTTAATTGATTAATTAAAAACAAACAAAAAATAAAACACTAATATTTTTTTTTGTTTCATATATAAGTTATGAATAGTTAAATACAGTATTACCTGTATTTAAATTATATTTTTAAAAATATATATATAAAATAAATACTTGAATAGACATTTTTAAAAAAAAAATTAATAAATATTTAATAGTTTTAAAAAAAAAGTTTTATGTTGTTGTTGTCTACTAAAAGTTTATTTAAAAATTATTATAATTATTAATATTTTTTGTTAATATATTGAAATTTTTTTTAAATGTCTATTCAAGTATTTATTACATTTAAAAAAAATTAATAAATATTTAATAGTTTTTTTAAAAAAAATGTTTTATGTTGTTGTTGTCTACTAAAAGTTTATTTAAAAATTATTATAATTATTAATATTTTTTGTTAATATATTGATTTTTTTTTAAAATGTCTATTCAAGTATTTATTACATTTAAAAAAAATTAATAAATATTTAATAGTTTTTTTTAAAAAAAAATGTTTTATGTTGTTGTTGTCTACTAAAAGTTTTAGATTTATTTTTTTTTATTTATATAAAAAAGTTTATTTAAAATTATTATAATTATTAATATTTTTTGTTAATGTATTGAAATTTAAAAAAAAAGTTTTTTTGTTGTTGTTGTTGTGTTTGAAAACTATATTAATGATTGATTTTATTAATTAATTAATTGTTTTTTTTTATTACCACTAATAACAGGTCTCGTAGTGGTCAAGAGTATCATACCCGGCGGTCCCGCACACCTATCGGGCGAAATTGAACCCGGCGACATACTGGTATCGGTATCTGGTGTATCGGTAGACGGTCTCCAACATGCCGACATTGCCCGCTTGTTTGCCACGTTTACCGTCGGCGATCGTATCAGTTTGACGTTTGCACGCGGCTATCAGCTGCCGGTCGACCTGAACGACGACGACTACGATATACTAACTGTCGAACTGACAAAAGGCATACAAGGTTTGTATGGATTTATTTTTTTTAATAGTCATTATATGATATATTAATATATTTTTGATGGTCTCCCCCCCCCTCGATATATAGGTTTCGGGTTTACCATATGTGATGCACAGTTAGGCCAGAAAGTGAAAAAAATATTAGATGTCGACCGTAGCCACGATCTCAAACAAGGAGATATACTTATGTCCATAAATTCAATTAATTTATCGGAAATGTCTCATCTGGAAGTAGTCGAAGCCCTGAAACAGTGTCCGGTAGGCCAGTCGGCCATATTGATGGTCAAACGTCCGAAACTACAACATAGGTATCGCCAGCAGCAGCACCAGCAGCAAAGGTTACCGCAGACACCGTTGGAGACCAACAACAACACCAGTAGTAGATGGCATACAAACGGCAGCAATAATCAGACAACGACACCAACTGATGATGAGCTGATGATGATGTCGATGGCCACCACCACCAACCATAACAACAACATCACCACAACATATACACCCAATGGCTATACTAATAATAATCACAATAATAATAGCCATTTCTATGATCCAAACACTGGTGATGGCTATTATTATGCTAATCATAGCCCAATTCAAAAGTCACAATTACTACCGCATCCGCCGCCGCCAGCAATGACCAGATTGTCATCGGACGACATGTCATTGGACACAACATTTCAGTCAATAGCCAACAATACCGATAATATGTTAGCGACTATACAGATGTCGACGACAACTACAGGAGTTCCTACCGATGACCACCAGTTCGACTATATTCAGGCAACGCTTAACCGATCCGATCAGGGATTCGGCTTTCGGATAGTCGGCGGTGCCGAAGAAGGTCGCAATGTAGCCATCGGTTCGATAGTCATCGGCGGTGTCGCCCATCGGGACGGTCGCCTCAAGGCATCCGACGAAATTGTATCCATAAACGACCGGAACGTTTCGGGTGCCGCACATCACGACGTTGTCGAACTAATGTCCCGTACAGGTCCGACCGTATCGATTCTGGTCACTCGGCGCCGATATTCGGGAACCTATGACGTTGCCCTGTATCGGGACGATCAGGAAGTCGGGTTCGGTTTTGTTATCATATCGTGCGGCGATTGCGCCCTCATTGGCCGTATCATCGAAGGTTCGCCCGCACATCGGTCACAGCGGCTACACATTCGCGACCGTATTGTTGCCGTCAACGGCTCGGATATTACGGCTCTCAGTCATCCCGATATTGTCCAACTGATCAAAGAATCGGGTAATTTGATTGATTTGATTGGATTGTAATAATTGATTGACTGATTGATTGATTTGTTTCCACACAATTCAGGTGATAGTCTAACCCTACGTATAATACCTGCCGACTGTTACTACGTTGAACTCGCGCGCGGCCATAACGGCTACGGTTTTTCCATACGCGGTGGCCAAGAGTTTAACGGTATGCCATTGTTTATACTGAGGATAGCCCCGGACGGACCGGCTGTCGGTTTGTTGGGCATTGGCGACGAAATTATCGAAATCAATGGCTATTCAGCCGTTGGTCTCACACATGCCGAAGCTGTCCACTCGATTAGTCAAAGTGGATCGGCTGTCAAACTTAAACTGAGGCGCAATTATGCAATAAGTAATACCAGTAATAATAATAATAGTACTTATAATAGTGTCAATTGGGCGCCCACTACTACCACCACCAACTCATTGCCGCCCATACCTACGTTGCCAACATTTATGGAGTAGTCAGTCCATACCCGAACCCCCCCCCACCACCAACCCCTTACCGGGTACTACCATACTGTCCACACACACACATATATACACAATTGGTTCGGTAGTCTACCGTAATCATCATTTTTTAGCCCCACCCCCTCCCCTCCTCCATTAACTATTGTCTAATTAATTAAATTAGTTAATTAATTAATCATGTTAATTAAGTTAATTAATTAATCATAATTAATTAACTAATTTAATTAATTATCAAATTATTATTATTATACAGTATATTAAAAATAATAATTTTGTTTTGAAAAAATTACTGTTAATTTTTTAATGTTTTATATATTTAATAATATTTTTTTTGAGAGACAAAAAAAACATTTTGTATTTTATAACTATTTTTTAATTATTATTATTATAATAATAATATCATTTATATATTTATCATCTAAATAATGAATTAATTTTTTTTTTGAAAAAATTTTTATATAATTTATATAAACTTAATATTTAATTTATTTTATTTTTATTTTGTAACAATAATTGTATCAAAATCATAGTATTATCAGTTAAATTGTTATAACTTAATAACTTATATATATAATTGACAATAATATTTAAACAAAAAAAATTGTTGAGCTTTTTATATATAAACAATATATATATATATATAATTTTTGTGTCAATTAATTGTTATATAATATTATTGTATAATTTAAATACAATTTTTTCTATAATATTTATAATTATTGATAACATACACACACAAAAAAAAGTTAGTTATAGTTATTTGTATTATAATTATTATAAATGTTTATAACGATAATAATAATAATCATTATTATTATTTTAATTAAAAATAAAATTATATAATAAATTGATTAAAAAAAATTCCTAAATAAGCAATAAATTTTGTTAATTTAAAAGATAATAATATTGTTTATTAATAACTATAATATTTAATTAATTTATTACAATTATTGATTAAAATGATAGTATAAATAAATATTATAAATATGATCGTTGAAAAAATAATTAAAAGTTTATAGTTTTTTTTAAAAAAAAAACATTTAAAATTTTATTATTTGAAATCTATTAAGTAATAATTATTTTTTAAAACCTAAATTAATTAATTATAATTAAACAAAAACTGTATTATAATATTATTATTATGAAAACATATTCACTTATTACTGATTTATTATTTATTATTTTCTAGTTTTAAATCCAATAAATAAACAATTTTATAAAGATTTTATTTTAGTTTTTTATTTTATTTACTTATTGTTATAATTAATTAAATTAGTTTAATATAATCATTTAATTCAATTTCTATTAAGTTTTTTTGTTGTTGTTAATTTTTAATATAATTAATTAAATAATTTAATTTTACAAATTAAAACATTTAGTGCAGCTATCTCATTAATAATCTAAAATGATTATAATTCAATTTTTGTTTTACATAAATATTAAAAGAGAAAAAAAATAAAAATAGTAATAAAAATATATATATTTAAAAAACTTAGTTAAAAATTAAATTAAAATTATTACGAAAATTATTGATCATATCATACGATATATAAAGGTATAGACAGTAGAATATTATTGATTAACTAATTGTTAATTTTAATAGTTTTTTAAACTATTTTTTTCATATATACATTTTTATTACTATTTTATTATAATTTTATAGCAATTAAATATTTTACAATTACATATCACAATTTTATTATAAACAATTTTATATAAAAGTTTTATTTATTATCTTGTATATTATGACTATTATTATTTAATAGTATTTTTTTTAGATAACTAAATAATTAAAAAGTTTAGAATTATAATAAATAATATTAAAATATTTTAATAGTCATTGAATTATTGGAAATTTATAATTTTATTATAAAAAATGCTAACTCTATTTAATATTATTGAACTTTATTAATTTATTTGATAATAAATAAAAAATAATTTTTGTTATATCATATTATTTATAATAATAAAGTTTGATATATTTTATATAATATAAGTTTTTAATTAAATATAGATTTTAAAAAATTAATTAAATTTTGAATTTTTTTTAAATATAATTTCAAAAATAATGGCTTAAATAAATAATTTTAGACTTAAATTAATTAATATGTGTGAAAACAACTACAAAGTGCATAATAAAACATTAAATGATTTTTTTTGTTGAAATATTTATTAAGATTAAAAATTAATTTTTTGTGTCTATATAAATTACTATATATATATATATATATATATATATATATATATATATTTATTAGAATTTAAATTAATGAAAATTTAAAAATTTTTAAAACGTATTTATTTTGAAATAAAATTAAAAATTATTTTATAAAAGAACATCACAAAAATTATTCTTAGTTATAAAAATTTAATAAATAAAAAAAAATATATATATATAATAATATAATATTATAACTAATATTGTTTTTTTTTAAAATTATTGTTTTTTTAAATAATTCAATTTTAATTTTATTATTTATTACTTGGATCTGATCTATATATAAAATCATCCGACATTTGACTTAATGTCAATGATATTGTTGTTATCAGTATTATAGCCATTGTTATCATCAGTGTCTTCATCAACGATAGTGTTGTCGCAGACATCATATATCTGTAAAAAAAAATTGTTAGTCTATTAAAAAATATAATTATATAAATATATATATATTTAAAAAAATTAATTAAATAAATTAATATGAATAATTGAATAAATTTCAATTTTTTCATTTTAATATTCAATAATCTATTTATTTATTTATGTACTAACCTTTAAATTTCTATTTAATAAAAATAAACTAAATCTTAATATATAAAAAAATTAATTTTTTATAATAACTATTTTATTTGCAATAGATTTTGCTCTATATTTATATACTTTTTAAATTAGAGAAAAAATCTATTAATTATTTTTTTATTGTTATATATATAATAACTTTAAATCATAATAATAATAATAGTAATTAATTTGTTAACTTGTTTAATAAACTTTGAATATATATTATAATTATTATTATCTCATTTATAATGATTAATAAATTATTAACACAAAAAACATTAAGTTTGTTAATCTCATAAATATTTTTTGATTGTATTATTTTTATTAAATATTTTTATTTTACAATATTATTAACTATATATTTTAATAATTATTAGTAATATTAGTAAAATATTTATTAGTTATAAGGTTAGAAAAATCATTAATTAATATACAGTAATAAATTATACTAATTGTTATTAAATGTTTTTTTTGTATAAAAATAATTTTAATTACTTAATACTATTGAACTCTATTTTAAAAAAACTTCTAATTAAATAATGATATGTAATTTTATTTAATTATTTATTACATTATAATAGATATAATAAATTGTGTATAATATAAGTTATTCAACATATTATGATTTTTATGTTGTAATGATTTATATTACTTTATTATTATTTATTTTTGAAAATATATTGTTTTGTTTAATCTTAAATAAGTTATTTAATATTACTTAAAATTTAGATAAACTAATACATAAATTTGTAAAAATAATTTTTTTTAGATAATATTTTAATATTATTAATAATACTAGATTAACAATTTATTTATGAATTTAATTTTAATTAATTAAAAAACCAAAAATATATTAAAGTATTAATTTTTTGATAATAATCTATAATAATAATAATATTTATATTTATATTTTTTTAAATGAAAAATTTGTTAATAAATGCTATATATTTAAATATATTGTGATTTTATATTATTATTTAAATTAAATTTGTATTATTATCAATATTATAAAAACAAACAAACATTGTTTTACATACAATGTTTAGGCGTTACATATAATTAATATAAATTTAGATAATAATCTTATATATATATATATATATATATATATATATATTGTAGTAATTTTTAGTTAATTTAATTAATATATATCAATATAAATGACAAACTTTTGAAAACTAATTAAAAAAAATATTAGAAAAATTCAAACTACAGTATCAAAAAAAAAATAAAATAATAAAATAAGATAATTATAATTATATTATAAATAATAAATTTAAATAAACAAAGAATATTATTAATTTATTTTTTTTTTTAATTTAAACTTTTTTTTAACTGTTTAACATTATCATTATCATTATTATTACAACAAAAAAAAAACATTATTATTAATTTAAACAATTTTTTTTAAAAATAAATAGATTAATGTTAATTTAGTGACAATATGTAATATAATAATTATAATAGAAAAAATACTTAATAAATAAAATTGTAAAAAAAATTTTCTAAAAAAAAAATATTTTTTTACAAAATTTTTTAAAAGAAAAATATTTAAAAAAAAAAATTATTTTTAAAATGTCTTAAAGTGGTTGATGTTTACATGTCTTGTATCTGAAATGACAGTACTCTTCACTACCACATTCCTCGTGTGATTTACAGGAATATTCATCGTTATAATTGGGATCCAAGTGAGCACTGGTAGCCATAAAATTAGTCATAAAAACCACTACTACTACTACTACTACTACTAGTATGTAGTAGTGGTAGACCATCATTGATACCATAGACAAGATGGACGAAAATCCATTACTACTACCACTAGTAGTAGTAGTAGTAGTAGTACTTGATTTGTGGTGGACTGCCATTGACTAAATAGTCAGCTATACTATGACTACTACCTATAATAATAATAATGATAATAATAGTTAGCATATAGTTATATATATATATATATATATTAAATGTAAAAATGTCTATAAATAATATACAGTATATATATATACAGATAATGCCATTTAAAAGTTTAAATTTTAGTAATATAGTGTACAGTTAACTTTACGCTAAGCAAGGTAACTTAGTATACAGTTACCTTATATTAGGTAAGTAATATAAAGTACCTTGCTAAAGCATTACATAATATTACTCAAATTTAAACTTTTAAGTGGCATAAACTGTATATATATATATAGTAATATATAATTTATATCGATTTTTTAAAAACCAATAATAATTATAATAATAATACTAACCTTAGTTGTTATGTTATATTACAGTATATATATATATATATAAATATATTATATATATATATTTAGTACTTAAATATGTTTGTTATTTCTAAGTTCTCTG